GTGAGAACATTACAATGACCACCTGACCGGCTGTTGACCATTACAACTCACGACTTTGTCAGCTCAGTGAGCGCATGGTCAACCGATGTGGCACGTTGCAACCTGTTGCCTTATGCCTCTGACTCTGCCTTATGATTCACACCAATGACTTTGACCATTGCTTCAGAATGTCCACCCCAATTATCTCCAAACCCTCCACCCCTCGACTTGGTCCTGGCGGATCTTTCGCTTAACCAGATATTTGTCATCTTCTGCAATCAAAACCTGCAGAATGCGAACAAATCATCCAACCAGTCCAAAAAACACAGGGTCCAAACTTCCATGGTTGAACACAGAACATGAATAGAGCAAATGACACTATGAACATCATGTTCTACTGACTCCTTTAATGATTGAATGATTGTAGTAGTCACATGTTCTGTTGACTCCTTCAATGACTTAACTGTGATCGCCACTGTTGAGAACGTGTTGAACTCCGATTGTGAACGTGGCCTCATCAAAAGATCGTCCGCCAGGGTCCTGTTTCGAGGGTTTCCTCTTCACTCGTGGCTTGCTCGTCCGTGCAGCAGCTGGCCGTTTCATGGCGATCGCGCTGGATGGTCTTTTCATGGCCCGAGGATGAAATGATGACATACCATGGAATGACATGTCAATGACAATGACCAGTCAAGACCTTTACTTGAGATTGAAAAATTGTCAGATTGACACTCAGAGTCTAAAATGCAATGACAGGAAACTCAGATTCTGAATCAGAATCGAAATGCAGACTCTAGTTAGACTCTAGTTACTGACAGGAAACTCAGATTCTGAATGAATATGAATCAGACTCTAGTTAAACTAGTTGTGATTTCGACGGTGGGTTTGCAAACATCGCTCCACAAACGTCGCTTGATCAATCTCCAGAAGTCACTTAAGATGACTGTGACACTAAGCCAACGACTGGCAAGCAATCCCGGAGGCATCAGGCCTGGCATCAAGCTGCGACTGTGATTGACACGCGATAATCCTTTCCAGCAGTTGAGCTTGATTGCGACCCAGTCTCAAGTGTAAAGACTGTGACACTCAATCATGGAAGCTTAGATGATGCTCCTGATCTGTGGCTGCTCAAGTAGATACAGCTCAGCCGCATTTTTTTGCCGCTGGCTGCGCAAGGTTCAGCGCCCAGATGATCCAGCTGCATTCAGGCTCTTGAGGGCGCCCCCCACATATCCATTGATGTCTCAGCAGGCCAAATGCGCAGGAACGTGCCAACAAAAATGGAAGCTGAGCAATTCACTCGCAGCAATTCAACAGATTCAAGGCTTTAGCAAAATGAATGACTCAATGCGATGCAAGTGTCTTTTGAAGTCACCCGGAGAGTGGATGTAATGCAGCAGTATTTGCCTGGAGCGGAGCGGGTATGGCGGCAGCAACTGCATTGCAAGCGCGCAATTGCTTGAAATAATTTTGCAGCCAAGGCGCATGATGTGGTGCTGGCCATCAGAACTGAGCCCCTCCACTGCTTTTTGCAGGTTGACTGCCAAACCGGCATCTGCCATCACTTCCAACCTTGGACCAGACACAGATATTGTCACTCGCACATCAAAATCATGCAATCTGCCGATCAATTATGAGTTGGATTCGTTCCAATGCCAAGTAGCATGACACTCTCAATCCCTGGGCTCTCTTGTGCCACTAGATGAGATGGCGCAGGTTCTTCAGCAGGAAGATGTGAGGGGCGCGGTGGCTCCTCCTCCTCATTGTCGTCCTCATGATCGCCTTCGTGGCCACTCACATCATCCTCCGCATCGCCCTCGTGGCCCCTCGCATCATCCTCCGCATCGCCCTCGTGGCCCCTCACATCATCCTCCGCATCGCCCTCGTGCCTCCTCACATCATCCTCCGCATCGCCTTGGTGGCTCCTCACATCATCCTCCGCATCGCCCTCGTGGCTCCTCACATCATCCTCATCGCCCTCCACATCCAGATCCACTGTTGGGATCTCTTCTAAAGACAGAGTCCTTAGACGAAGAAAGCTCTATCGCCCCTTCCATGGACCCTCTACCGCCCCCCAAAAAAGCTCTACCGCCCCGTGCGTGGACCCTCTACCGCCCCCCAAAAGAGCTCCCCTGCATGGACCCTCTACCGCCCCCCCAAAAAGCTCTACCGCCCCCTGCATGAACCCTCTACCGCCCCCCAAAAAAGCTCTACCGCCCCCTGCATGGACCCTCTACCGCCCCCCAAGAAAGCGACTCATGCTGCCACCTGCCATAGGCACTAAATAATCCAAGCTTCCAATTCACGGCTGGTGGATGAATCGCCTGGAATGCTCGGAGGGCTTGCCGAGTCCGATTGTCAAAATCTTGCAGCCCCCACATATGCTGGCCGCAGTTCTGGGCGATGCCCCTCATGGCTGGCATCCTCAAAAAATCAGTGAATGCAGATGGCCTGAATGAATGTTGACATGAACACTTGACAATTGCTTCACAAAACGTTTCATTCATTCATTGGTTGCCAAGATACCTGCCAAGCTGGCCATGGATGAAGCCCCAAACCGCAGTCAAGTCCGCGGGCCAATTACCTGATAAGGACATGATCGCAGCCACCACCTCCACGCCCTGGTCCTCAGCGATCGCTCGTGAACTCATGGCGTAACATGGCATAACCCAAGCAAGAAGCGTGCAAGCAAAATTAAATCACAAAACTATTGTCGCCAAAAGACCATCAACCAGGCATACATGATCGCGGTGACCGTGGTGGCTCTGTGATACCCAGCCGAGCAGTTGATCAAGACCAAGATGGCAGGAGAGCTAAACAGCCGCCACATAACGCGAGTTGTGTTGGGATTCCGGAGCACCTAAGATGCTAAAACATGATCAATGGTTCAAGACCCCGCAAAACATGTGAATCAATGGTTCAAGACACCGAACACGCACTCCAAGACTATCAAACAAAATGCAGCCAAGCATCGCTTTCCCGCACCCTGGCCACCAAGCCGCAGTGCTTCAAGATGGATCGATCAATGGCGGCGCGGTCATGCTCCTCGCTCCTGGGCATGTGGGTTCTCAGCAGGAATAGCCATGTAAGTATGTGTCAGTCAACAACCAGTCAACAACCAACAAATGACAAGAAAATGCACAAGCAAGTAAGTCAAGGTCAATTGAACATCAATAAGTGCAAGCAAGACACTCCAGCATCCAACACAAATTGTGGCACTGAACTGAAATGTGGTCCGCCACTTCAAAGATGATGTCTTGAGGACGGTCAACGACGCTGCCGTTTGGAAGGTGGGCCTGGGCCTTAGAAGACACGGTAAGAGCTGCAAGCCCGTGGCATGAAAACGCAACCTGATCAGACTGATGATACCATGGGCATGCTTCTGAAATCTTAATGTGAACCAAGCAGCTCTCGTCCTCATCCCTTTGATGGGCCAAGCGAGAATGGCGACCTTTCGTGGCCAGCGAGGCACGCTCCACGTACTTCCAGTGCAAGCACCCGCCATAGTTGTACACGCGGCCGCTCTCCAATTCACCAATCCTCAGATCCAGTTCCACTACACCACAACTCGTGCGCAACTATGACACAAGCAAACAAAGCAATGACACAAGCTTGCAGTTGCAATGCATGGGTTAGCAAAAGTTGTTCCAAGCTACGCCTGCTCGGACAGAGCAGGATCCAGCTTCCACCTTGAAATGTTTGCAATGCGGAATCCATGGCAGTCGGCCAATGAATGATCTCAGTTGGCCACTCATGTGTCATCATGTGTCCACTTGCAGCAAAGGTACAGCAGAAACAAAGTCTGCTGGCCAGCGCGATCCAGCTGCAAGGCGATCTTCAAGTACTTCTCCGGCAGCTGTGCCACCGCTATGGAGTTGGAGGGCATGCAGGCAGAAAAATTGAATCAGTGATTGAATCTGATGACTTGAATCTGACTTGAAGCTGAGGGTTGAAAAGCTTGAAATTGAATCTTCTCATCGGCTGAAGACTGAATCTGATCTGACTGTGATTCGATCTGCAAATGACATTTCATCTGATCTGACTGTGAGTGCGGCAAGTTGAAGGTCAGTTTGAAGGCTAGTTACTAGTTGAGTGTGGTAACAAGTTGAGTGTGGCAACTGCTTGATGTGCTCCCTCTGAGGGTATGAAGGCCGCCTTCATTTGATCCACAAAGGGCCATGGATCGGTGGTTGGCAAAAACCAGGAAACATTAAATGAATCAAACTCCTGTCATGACATCAAATTCAAGAAACAGTCACGATATAAAAAATACTCGGAAACCATGGATCAGAATCAGAATCGGTGAGTGAATCCACCCGCAGCCCAAAAGTTAAAACCTTAAAGGTATACACGCGCGATCAACAAATGACAGAACACGACGACACATCCTTGCCTTCCAGCACAGGTGCAGCAAGTCGAAGGTATGTTGAGGACCTGGCTCGGTTGACTTGAAATGTCAGTTTATTTGTTCATGTCCAATGTCAGTCATGACAGAATGGTGGACCGCCTTCTAGTGACACAGTGGCATGGGACGACATGGGAGTTGCACAGCAGATTTAGCAACGATGTGAGATAGAAAGACATGTGAGCATGTGAACGTTAAGAATGTGAAACTATTGAATGAGTGATTGAATGTGAATGTGAATGTGAATGTGAATGTGATTCAGAAACAGCGAAACTTCTCACAGGGCGCCCACTTCAATGGGTCAGGACTCTGCCTGAAAAGGTTAATTAGGGACTCATTTCAGTGGACCATTTCGGTGAGGATGAGTTAATCACCAGCGATTGACAATTACTGTGAATCCTTCAAAGATCTCAACCTCACGTGAGCAGCTATCATTCGCTGAGCTCCGTTCAAAAATTGATACTCACAATCGACTTTATCATTGTGAGTTCAACTGTGTGAACCATTCATCACTTGACCAAAGGACCACACACGGGCTTGATGGGACTTGAAATAGTCGTTCAAACAGTGGTTGCCTCTTGGTGAAGTGAAGTCCAGTGACAAAAAAACATCCTGCCGCCTACTCTGGGTCACAGTCAACAGCAAAGAACCTGCAAAGCGACCTTGTGTACTGCAGGATTTCCTCCAGACTGGTCCTGAACAACTCCAAGCGCAGTAGTACAGGTCTCCTCTGATTTGGGTCGTCAAGCACTTCCTCAAGGAGCCCGATAAACTCGTTGACATCCTGAGTCCAAAGATTATAATTCAGATGGTCAAACACGTCAAACACATGAATTGTCAATTCAAATCTCAAGTTCTTACTTATTGAACATTTTTAAATTGAAAACTTGCAGCCAAGACTCTCTCAAAGCAAAGAAAGTTTCAGCGTGCAAGCTTTGGATTTGGAGTTGAACATATACCTCAGGTGGCTCAAATGGAAACAGAGCCAACAATCCAGCTGCTGCACGGACGAGCAAGCCACGAGTGACAAGGAAACCCTCGAAACAGGATGTTCAACACGTTCTCAACAGTGGCGATCACAGTCTACTAAGTCATTGAAGGAGTCAATAGAACATGTGACTACTACTACACAGTGACAAAGGTGGAAATACTGCACCACTGTCATCTGGCAAGGAGCAATAGGTGGAGGTGGCGTTGCATATCCTGATCCCCATGCTCCTGATGCTCCCTGCGCTCCCTGTGCTACCGATCCCGACATTGCCCGCGAATATCAGCGAATGGTTCAATGATTCAATCAATGTATCTATGGAGTCTTTGTTTTTTGTTTGTGTTCCCTGTGTTGCCTTTGCCTGTACTCTTCTGTTTTGATGAATTATGTTACTCTTTGGCATCAACCATTCATTCATGCTTAGCTATCAGTTGTTTCCTTGATGATCCACAATTATGTCCTCCTTCCGGCCAAAAGATAGGCAGAATAGTAAAATGACATTTTTACAACTGGCATGAGTTCGATAGCTAATCTTGAAACTGACTATGAACATGAAGTTGCAGCTGATACTGACTGATCTGACTGAATCTGACTGAGTGACAAATCATGCCAGGTGCACGTTGGAGAAACCCAGGTCGATGTAGAGGTCCACCAACCACCCACCACCCCAGGTCCACCAACCACCCACCACCCAGAACGCACCCCAATGCCTCATGGTAAGTTATGATGATCGTGCAGAACGTTTGTTCATCGAATGGCCCATGATAAATTGAACAAGTCAACCAAAAGTTCAAAACCACCCAGAACGCACCCCAACCCCCGATGGTAGGTGGCTGCACGTTTGTTCATCGAACGGCCGGCCCATGACAAGTTCTTCTTCCTCCCCCTTTGCTTTAGCATCCAATATTCTGACAGCATTTTCTTCTTCTTCCTCCCCCTCTGCTTTAGCATCCAAATCAAAGGTGAATAAGAAAACTGAGAGCATCTTCATCTTCTTCCTCCCCCTCTTCTTTAGGATCAAACTCAAAACCATTAGCGTCATCTTCTTCCTCCCCCTCTTCTTCTGTCAAAATCAAAATCATTAGCGTCATCTTCTTCCTCCCCCTCTTCTTTAGTATCAAAAGCAAAATAATACGCGTCATCTTCTTCCTCCCCCTCTTCTT